TTTCAAATTCAGAAGCCATTTCTCAAAAGCTGTAAGTTGTCCTGAAGTAAGTGGATCAGTGAAACACTGCAGCATACTCATGCAAGTGCGGGGAAGGAAGGTTTGACTTGTGAAAAGATCTGTTTACTACAAGCTTTTTTTGCCAGAATGGTCGCAGAATAAATAATTCTGACAACCTAATTATCCCTATTACATTTCTGTCAAGGAGAATTGTGTTACTGTCTCTGAAAGCTATTGTTTCACTCTGTTTCTACATTTGTGAAGACTATCCTGCTAATTTCTTCAAGATTCTATTTCCATCTGCAACAACTGTCTGTTATAGAAATAAAAGTTAAATTTCTGGAAACGAATTTAAAACTGTTGTGGGTTTCACAGCCTAAGGAATGCAGAACATGGCATCCACATGTCCTACCAGTGAACTTCTGTGAATACACATTAACAGCAGCATTTTCCCTTGGTTTGGTATACGGCATGTGTTACAATAAATTAAGCCAGAATTCTTAATGTCCTTACCTTTGAGGTTTTTTAAACCAAAGTAGAGGTTTGTTTCTCATGTTTTTACAAGTGTTACCTACACAAGTGTGTGCTACATTTGATGTTTCCCTGGAGCTCAGCTTCAGTGCTCTGGTGAATTTTTAATACGAAAAGTGTATTTCTGCCAATTTCTACAGTGTAGACTCAGTTATATTCCAAAAAGAAGGAAAAGGAAATGAAATCCCCATTAACAAAAAAACTCTGCAAACAAAAAAATCATCTGAACGCTTTACTTTGCACCTTGGCACATCTTACTTGGTGTACTGGCAATCTTAGACATTCTCAGCCACTGTTTCCATATCCCCATGAGGGTGATCATATCAAACCAATACTTTACCTTTCCATGGAAACTTCGTGTCAGATGCATTTTTGTAGATTGAGTATCTTGGTAGTGAAGTGATAAAACATGAAGTTTGCAAAACTGGGATCTCAGGAAGGGCAGTGCAACGGGGATAATATTCAGTAATTTAAGTTGCAAAATCTCCCTACATAGAAATTGGTATCTCATTGAAATCATGTCAAAAGAAATCCTATGGGTCTCACTGCATTGCAGAGACTATCAGAATATGTAAGTGGGTGAAACTGGTGAGTGGGGGAGTTGGGGGCTAAAAAATAAGAGGGCATGCACAGAACTGAGCCATGCAGAGATGGGGAGATGCAAGAGCACATTTAGAACTGGAATGGAAGTGACCTTCCTTTTCACTGGGCCTCTCGTGTGCTGCCCACACATTTGCCTTAGCACACGCTACTTTACATGTTAAATATTTCTCAGATGAGGAGGAGTGAAAAACAGTTATGAAACACATTAATTAAACTTTGGTAGGGGTAAATATCACAAACTCTCCTCCCATTTGCAAAATCTTGTCAGATACAATTAAGAAAAATTTATATTTTTCTTCCCTGTTGATACTGGGATGCTAAAATGGAGATCTAGAATTCTAAATGTAAGCCCTGTACCCACACATTTCCAAAGTCTACATGACATAAAAGGTTATTTTAGAATTGGGATATATAGAAGTGTATATAGAAGAGGAAGGAGCAAGTCTGGGAAGGTGCATGTTATTTCTGATTTTGACCATGTGAAATTTATCAGGGCAAACACAGATAATGCTGTATTTAAATGCCCTAGTGTGGCTTAATCTTAATTTGAGACTTCATAATATTTTCTGTGAATCTGTCTCATGTAGAATAAGATGTGGATGACAGTCTTAAGTGTTGGTATCATTTTTGATATGAAAATTCAAATTGGCTTGATAAATTTACTGGATCAACCTGCTTCTCATTTTTTGGCAATAAGTAAGGTGTTCCCTTTACAGTTTTGCCTGGCCTGAATACACATAGAAATTCTGTAGCACCAGAAGGGAAGATGTTAACTCACTTTGATCAGGACCTTCTGTGTGCGGGCTACATAGGTACTTGGCATCCATCTGTCAGCTAGAGTTTCTTGCAAGTCTGAGTTTCAGGACATCATTTGTAACAGAGGAACATGGCGCTGACCTATTATATCGAGTTTGTTTGATTGTGTTTATGCTTAATAAAGGTTAGTTAATTGTGGTGATTAGTCATATGTTTCTACACTGTGTTCAGTAGTTTTTCTTCCTTCTGGAAATAACATTTTTTTTCACCAACTGAAGTACTGTGTCTGTCTTAATGAGGTAATTATTGTTGTATTTATCTAGGTGAATGTGTTTGGGACTATTTTTTTTTCATTACCCAGGAGTAACATCTGCTCAGCAAATAAGTCATTAATGGCAGCTCTTTGCTGATATGATTTCCTCTTTATTTTTCTCGGTGAAAGCTCTGTAAGCAGTACTCTGATATTCAAAGGGTGTGGGAGAGGTAATGGCTGTGTGCTTTTTACCCATTTCATTAGATATTTGCGTGTTGTTGTATGAGCATTTTTTTAGTATTCCCCCTGTCACCACGAGATGGGGCAGGTGACCAGGGAGCGCCGGGGCCTCGGAAAGAACGACACAAACCAAATGGAAGCGTTTCTAGTTACTCCCTGCTTTGCTTTCTTTGGTCATTTTCTTCACCATGAGAGTGGTGAGGCAGTGGAACAGATTGCCCAGAGAATGGGCATCCCTGGATGTGTTCAAGGCCAGGCTGGATGGGGCTCTGGAGCAACCTGGTCTAGTGGAAGGTGTCCCTGCCCATGGCAGTGGGGTTGAAACTCTGTCTTTAAGGTCCCTTCCAACAGACCATTTAATGATTAACATTACCTTTTGCACCACTGAAAATAAAAGTTTGCCTTGTGTTTTAAAGTCTTTGAAAATTATTAAAAATGTCTAAAAATTCTTTTCAGGAATGGAAGGACACAGTTTTTGTTTTGTTTGGGGGATTTTTTAGAAATGAAACAAATGTCTAAAATGCCATAGAATTTCAAAAATTAAATAATTAATTTTTATCAATTTGCTGTCTACCCCATTTCAAAAGTATAAAATTTAAAACAAAACAAAACAAATTTTAAAAAACCAAAACCAACCAACCAACAACAAAAAAAAACCAACAAAACAAAAAAAACCACCCCCCCCCAAAAAATAATAAAGATATAAAAGGCTTATTTTTTTTTCCCCTTGGAAAAATAATGGGTATTTAAAATTAGTAGGTTAGCTTACTTCTAATTCGGTGAAAATTTCATTGGGATTTCCCTCCCAAGAGATTTTAGCTGTAAGTAGAAGTTTTTCTTTGAACTAGTTTAAACTAAGGCCCTCTTTCTTGTCACGCACAGACAGGGAAATACTGCAAGATGCTGGATTAGCTTGTTCGCTTTTCATTGTTTTCTTTTGTAGCAGCAATCCGTTTAGCTATGGTATGCTGAGTTTATCTGATTAGCACTTAATGAGTGAAGGGAATAGGGGCAATGTTGCTTGAGTTACTTAACCCTAATAAAGTTTTCACTACCTCCCCCCTCTTTCTAAATACCTGAACTTTCCTGACCCCACCCCTTGCCTTTTCCATCAACTGCGGCACATTCCCATAGGAAATGCATTCTGGCTGCAGCTCTGTCAGCAGTAGTGCTGCCATTAGCTGGATTTTGTCCAGTGCACATTGGTCACAACAAACACCCAGCTCAACAGTGTTTGACAGTCTGTCTGGAGCTCTCACAAACTCAACTGCTGTTCTGCTGATGCTGTGCCTTACCCGGGAACACTTACTGACCAAAAAATATAACAACCTGTAGCATGAGCATTTCTAACTTAAAACTATTAGGTATAACTGTAAGCAATAAAATAATTTCTTGGATTGTGCTTGCAATGACATTGTAATGAGGATTCACTGGAGCTTGAATAATTACATTATATAAAGAAATTTGAGAAAGCTGATGTTTAGTAGTGCTTAAAAACTGTGTGTGCCATACAGATTGTGGTTGTGTTACCATAATTTTCATTTGGTGTTGCATTGTAAAATATTTGATAAAAAAGTAAAATTCTGAAAAACAGTAGAAAAATAATCTACATGAGGTTTTGCTGCTTAATGATTATTGTTCTGTTAGTTTTATTCAGAGGTGCAAAGTTGTCTTAATACCCATTAAAATAGGTCCGATATCTATATCTGTTCAAGAGATTCCTTATGCATAGAGGTTCTATAACTATTGAAGAAATAAGGAGAAAGCGATAAAAATTTAGGTGAAGTGTCAATAAGACACTAATTTTGCTTAGGAGATCTGAATCTTTATAGGTTTACCTCTGAAAATATTTTCACTTATAGCTGCTTAACAATAGAAATATTTTATAGAAATTATCTCAGATTTCTTTTACCATTCAATGTCCCCAGATAATAATAATAATAATAATAATAATAATAATAATAATAATAATAATAATAATAATAATAATAATAATAATAATAATAATAATAGAAGTAATAATGATCCTAGCAAAAGACATCTAGTAATAGCAGTAGTGATCCTGTTAGAGAAGAATGTGTGTATGTTTTTAAATTTTAAGGATACTAGAAGAAGGTCAGAAGTCAAGGAATGTACTGGGGTCCTTGGGAAGGGTTAGAAGGCAACTGTGAATGTTTCTGAGGTGTGCACAGCTTCCTACTGGGCACACCCCAAGCATTTGCCTTCATGGGTCAGGTTCTGCAGCTGGTGGTGCTCACATTCCCTGTGAGGTGCAGAGCACAATGTGTCGAGGTAAACTGCTGTCAATGGTAGAGCCAGTCTGGAAGTGTCACACTCTGAACTAAATGGCTGAAATTTTGGAGGAGAAGTCTCTTCACTTAACTGACAACCCAAACAGAGTCATTTAAACTTCTCCTTGTTTCCATTGTTTTGTTTTAGTTTGTGTTTTTGTCTGTTCCTGAATATGTATAGCTCATGCCAAACTTCCATACAGCCAGGCAGAAAAAAAAACAGGTGTAAATGTGTGCATTAGGTATTGAAATATTTTGTAATTTGATTCAAAGGCTTATTTAAATCACAAAAAGTATGTGTGTATGTTTTTCTTTTCCCCTCTCAGGTTTGCAATTATGTGTGGCTATATGTCTCAGTTTGAAAGTGTACAAAACAAAATCAGGAATGGTTATCTCTTTAAGGTATGTTTTTGTAGGATTTGGGGTTGGTTTTTTAAAGCTATTCCTTTAAGTTTAAAGCTATTCCTTATATAGTGTCAAAGACAGGTTTTTCCAACACAGTAATTCAGCCTCACAGGTATATTTTGGTGCTGAAGTTAAATCGAAAAGGTTATTATTATATATGCAAATAAATTATATGCTTGCAAAATACAAGAATTGAGGTAGGATTCTGGGAACAGCATTAAGATTTCTGATTTCCTTTGTAGTCAAAGGAGGGAGGAAAAGCAATAATGATTCTGTTTAGAAAATCAAAACATATGAAATAGTTAATGATGAACTAACACAGTTTTGCAGTCATCCTTCATGTCTCCCTTAAGTAATGTTTGTTTTAACACTGTCCTTGCCAAGGTAATTGTGTTTTTTAGAGTTAGCTGTTTGTGTTACATGTGCTGCCCTCCCCCTCCTTGTCCTCAGCATTGCTTAGACACTTCCCATCCGTCCCTTGACCCCCAAGCAGGCGTCCTCCCTTTCTGGGTGACAGTGAAAGGCAACAGACATGTTCCAGTTCCTGGGGAATGCCTGGGATGGGCTCCTCCACACCGTGTCCTTGTTAGGACTTGGAGTGTGGCGGAGCTTTCCTCTGAGAGAGCATTAATTACATCTGAGCCATGCGAGTGAGCTAAGCCCCGAGCACTGGGATGAGCTGGGAATGAAGGGAAAATGACAAATAACACAAGTGCTGCAGCTGTTTGAGGATGGAGTTTTAAGAGTCCGCGGTGTGAGCAGTACCCGTTTCTGGGAGGCTCTCCTCCTCACAAGTAAAACCTGAAACCTCTTGATCTTAGAAAATAGTAGTACAAAAACATAGCTCCTATCTGAATAGTTTGTGGCTATGATAATATAGTAGTCTTTAATATATGTGTAAGTCAAATACTTTTGTGACTGGCTTAATTAGAAAGACAGATATGTGGAGGTAAAAAAGAAATGTTCAAATGAAATTTATTTTGAGAGACAAATGGTAGGGCTGAGATATTTATTTTTTCTTCCAACTCAAGTTGAGCAATGAGAGCTTTCTTTGGTAAATTGAAGAGAGAAATAAAGGTATTCATGACCTGAAATTAAAATGGTTTTGGAACGAGGACCTCATTAGATACTTTATAGGTTTTGTAGTTTCACTGTAAAAAGAACCATTTTATTTTCTGAATTCCACATTACAACAGCAGTTGGTTGTGTCCCCATTTCATTGGAGAAGTCACATTCCAAGGTGGAATGATCTATGCTTCAGTAATGGGTGCTGGCATGTAAGATATATTCAAGAGTAGTTGCTTCCTCACTGATTTGATCTGTGACAGTTTCCTAATGATCACTGTAAATGAAATCAATTTAATTGAAGTTGTTGCCTTTTTAAGACAAAAGTTCTTGAATTATTTGAGTGAACTTTAGAGTTATTTAGTCACATTCTAAATACAGCATACCTTCTTGCATTGTGCGCAACATTGCTAAATAATTTTGTGGTTTCCCTCCATGAGGAAGGGATTTGCTAGTTAAAATATATTTAGGTTGTTAGACAATTGCAGCAGAAGAGAATATCTAAATTTGTTTCTGACTTGCAGCAAACTACTTAGAATGTAAACACGCTTGCCATACAAACATCTGAAGTGATACTAATTTTTTTTCCAATAGGAGCATCTAGACAAAGCAATTGAACTTAAGCCTCAAGATCCCTTTTTGTATTACCTAAATGGAAGATGGTGCTATTCAGTAAGTTGTGTTTTATTTATCTAACATGTGAATTGAGTATTCTGAAAAATTATAATTAATTAGTGGGACTTAAGACAAAGTAGGTGTTTATTTAAGTAGATGTTTTGAGCTAAATGAAGTAGACATTTACACTTCCTAAGTTCACTAGCAGATGCACGATTCTCACAGCTGACCATTCCTGCCATGGAATTAGGTAAGTTGTGCTTGTATGACCCTCATTGTTGTGTTCAGCTGTTTTTCTGAATGAATAAATGAAAAGTAACTGATATTTGGAAGGGAGGAAGAATGACCTCTTGAGTTCACTTTGTTCTGCCGTAAACTTTTTGGGTGAACTTGGGCTGGTAACATAGCCTTGTGTTAACTTTATTTCCCATCCATTACTTAAGTTAAAGGCAGTTACATGCAGCAGGATTATATCTGTGGCAGCAAGGCTACCATACTGGCTTGGTAAATTCCAAGGGAATGTCCAGAAAATATTCATGCATAAAAATCTGTATTTCACCAATGAGTTTTGCAAGAGATGCAGTTTGCATCATACCAGTACTACAAGTGCTTTTAAAGATTGTTTTATTTATACTTACACTTTTATTTATATTTTACACAGATTTTATTTGGTTGTAGTAGATTGTGTAGTGATAAGTATTCATATATGAAAAAATAAAATAATTGGTTTACAAGATTAACTGTCAATAAATTTTTTAGACAAAATTGTGCTTGTGCTATAATAAGAGAGTTGTCTTTTTGGTAATGCACATCTTTGAGGGCTCATCTGGCTGTCCATACTGGTTGATCTCTAGTGCTTTGAGGAATCTTTTGTTGGAAGAAAACATTCTTGCCTTGTCTATGCTGTAAAAGATTACTGTGAGTCTTCTTAGAATAATGACTGCTAATGGACAGTGTATTCCAGCCAAGCTTTTTTCTTTTGGATATTCCCAATACAAGTCACTACAAAGTGCCTGCAAACTGGAAAGAAGGTTTTGCTGTGACACATTGCAGACTTTGTTTTTATCTGCAACAAGACTTAATGCAAAGTAATCTTTCATCAGTTTTTCAGTTCATATATTCAACTTCCAAAGAGCTTTTAGCAACCATGCTTTTTTCTCTGTTGATTTGAATAAGGAACGACACCAACTTTTTCAAGGAACTTGGCCTTTTGCTTTTTGTCACAGTCTACTCTTGAATATCAGCATTAGCTATGCAAAAATAAATTGCTGAAGATGATCCTATGGTATGCCTGTTGTCCTGCCTCTGAGAATTCACACAGAATTCACAAAATGACTAGGCTGGAAGAGACCTTCAAGATCATAGAGTCCAACCCATGCCCTAACACCTCAACTAGATCATGGCACCGAGTGCCTGTCCAGAGAGAAGCATCTCCCTCACCAATGATTACTTAAGCACTTTCATACTGTGATGTGCCCAACAGCTGACTGCAGCTTCCATTTATGCCAAATACTCACAGATGTTTTTCATGGCTTATTTCTTATGTGAGCTGCTGCTTTTTGGAAACACAGGATTTCAGTATACCTCACTTTGTTCTTACTGCACTTTTTTTTCACTCATTTCATTTTTGTGATAATCACCGCTTCCTGACTGAGTAATACATGTGGTTGGTTGTATTGGCTGTGTCTTTTCAAATTCATATCCCACACTTGCAACATCTATGCAGGGCTTCCTTACTAAACACTGAAACCGCAGATTAGCATTTGCTTTAGGTTATGACCTGACCTGCATTTATTTAATTGAAACAATGTACCTAAACAGATGTAGCCACTGAAATATGTAAGGATTCATTTCAGATTTCTGTTCTTTTTTTTTCTTTAATTCTTGCCTTGTGTGACTGCCATGACAAAATAGTAACCTGAAACACAGAACAGATTTTTGTACTCTAAATGCAAATATAGGACTGAATAACATCTTGTTCAACTTCCGGGGCTGTCAGCTCTTAAAAACTTACTGTCTTTGCACACTTTCAGTAGCAAGATGAGGTCATTTGGAAACATTAGTTTAGAGGCATTACTAGCTTTTAACCCTTGCCCAGTGAGATTGGAAATATCCTCACTAGTTTTAGCAGAGGGAGATGTTTCTGTGCTGATCCACTAACCCAGATTTTGGCCAGGCACGTGACGTAGGTAATCATAGGAGCTTGTGGAAGATCTGCCAAAGTCCTTGCTTCTGTTCTGCAGACTGTGAAGTTTCATGCTGTGGTAATTATCCCAAAAGAAGGCTGTTGGCTGTGGTATTGATTCCAAATACTTTGTCAGGGTAGAGATTATGATGAAGCGTTGAAAAATTCCTTTGTCACTCATCTGGTACCTGTAGATGGAATGATAATGCTCTTCTTAGATGCTCTGTTTCTAATGTTCAGTCTCACTGTTGAGGCTGGGAAGGTGTTGACCAGTGTGAGAGAATTAAAGCAGAAAAGGGGTGATTCAGGCAAGAAGGCGGGTTTTCACATTTAGCCTAGCTGACTTTGGGATCAAGTTAGGATTAGCCCAAATATGTGTTCTTTCATAGGTATTGCTTCCAAGGGTATTGTTGTCTAATTTTGTATGGATGCTAAATCTGAACCAGAGTGCCTGTAGCTCTCAAGCCTGACTTAGAGCTAGCCTGAGAAATTCATGAGAAGGAATTAAAACAATTCTCAGGAACACTAAACAACCTTGCAGGTGTTGTTTTGCAGTCTTGTTTTCTCCTTGCAGGAGACAGTCAGGGGGGGCAAAGTGCCCCTGACCAATGATAGTAATGTAGTACTGTGTTAACCAGTAAGAGTTTCCTTTCTGTACTTTTCCACGTATCTGTCTATAAGACAGAGCTGAAGCAATAAACTAGGGGATTCTCCTGTTGTGACTCCCTTGAGAGTCCATTGTCGTTCTTTAAAGCCGTTCCCAATCGGAACGACAATTTTGGTTCCATATTCCTTTACTGAAGCAGTGTAGTTAAAAAGGATAACAAGTTTTTGATATTTTATAGGCTTTGATGGCAGTTTTGTGAAATCTGATGTACTTAAGTCTTCCTAGTATAGTCAGAGATTTCCCTTTCTCTCCTGATTTAATGTTAGGGGATCTTACTGCTATTGTCTAGCATGCTTTTTTTTGGATGGCAAACAGGAATTGCATAAGATACTGTAAATGGGGATGCTTCAAGTGTAACTCAGGGTTACAAATGAAAATCTGTTGAAAAGACTTTGTGGTAAGAAGTATAGAATCATTGAATCATCAGTGTTAGAAGAGACCTTCAAGATCATCATCAAGTCCAACTGTCAAACCTGTCACCCCTAAACAGGGGAGACAAATTCAGAAGATTTTTTGGAGACTGAAATATATAAGCAAAGACTGTATACTGTTCTAGTAAAAGCTGTTTAATTCGTGGAGTTTAATCTGGCCTGACTGCCATTTCCCACCTTCCTCAGTGTAGTGCAGTCCTTTGCAAGGAGCAGTGGTATAGCTCTGCCAAGTTTCTTACTCAGCAGTTATTCTTGCTGGGCCAGAAATGAAGCTAATGCCAGGTGTCATAGTACCTTCCAGCAGAAAGGATCAGCTGCGTTTTCACTGTGTCACAGCAGCTGGGGTTTGTCTGTGATGCAGAGCCAGTTGTGAGAGACAGTTGCGCACCACCTTGTCTAAAACTCAGTTTTTGTTTTTGCTGTTTCTTATTTCTCTTACCATTATAAAGGCAGTAGATCTGTATAAAAGAAGAGGATCACAGAATCCTATCAGCTCTGTTAGAAAATTACTTCTGGTATCACAATCAGGTAGGCAAGATTTTCCCCAGTCATTTCACAGATGTCATGGTGGGCAAAATTTTGCCTGTGGAACCTGCTGTGTATACAAGAAGTGAATGGATCTATGGTACATGGTATCTAAGAATTATTTCCTTAAAGTTTTGGGCACAATTATCTGATAATTCTTTGTAATTGTATGCTTTGGGTTTTTTTGGGGGGGGGAGGGGCGGAGAGAGGGTTAAGTGTTTTAATGTTTCAAATAGCTTATAAAACTAAGACGTCTACTTGCCATTACAGGACAGGCACAGAACAGCTAGAATGTGCTTGTGAAACTGGATCACAGTCCCTGGTAAATGCTAGTAGTGTGTTAAAAATGAGATCTCCAGGGGTTTTCTTTCTGCAGGTTGAATGCCATGTTTTGGATTTGTCTCTGGTCTATCCCAGTATCTGTTTCGGTCACATCAGGGAACAAATTGATCCAGTTCCTTTGCACGCTCTTTAAGTGGGCTTCCCTTACTGGAAAGTGAAAAGCCCAATTCAAGTTGGATAAATACCTAAATGACTGTGCAGATTGTCTCAGTTCCTCAGTTGGCAAGAAAGAGAATATTTTTGTTGGAAGCCAGTATTTCAAAATTGGTGTCCAGTTACTTAATCTCTTCCAGAAGTCAAAACACTGCAAAATGATTTAATACAGTTTTACATTAATACATTGTAATGAAAAAGAAAAAGAAACTCTCTGGGGATATTTAATTAGGTGTCATTAATATTTTACTGAAGCTGGATCAATGGTGTGATTTGCCTTTATGGAAGGCAGTTGTGTGATATGTCTTCAGTGAGCTCTTAGCAAAGAAGCATTGGAAGAGGATGTCCTTTAGGGCTGAAAGTCAACCCTGGATGGTTTTTCAATTCAGGCAGCTTAGTTTCCTTCGTACCAACATCCTGGAATGTGAAAAGAGGTGTCATGGGGCAAGGTTTGCCTTTATAAAAAACAAACAGAAGACAACAATCCAGTCAGTGTTTATATATATATATATGATTTTTTTCTGATCCTAGGCTAAGGAAGAGAAAGGGATATTTTGAAATTCGTTTTCCCAGTATTTAGGAGAGAACCACATTTTTTGTCTTGGCCTTCAGAGATAGAAGAGGCCTGATGGAAGAGTACCAAGTAAGAACTTAACGTTCAGCCTCAGTTTAACTCTGGGAGTGTCTTCCTTCCATCTCTGGATAGAATAGAAATTTTGGTAGAATAAATGGATGACAGCTCCTTGACAGATAGGAGAGGTTGGTTGAGACAAGCATCTCTATTGGCTTTGGGATACTCTGGATACTCTGGAGTGGCCTCCTCTCCTTGGCAAAGGCCAGGCTGTCAGGATGACCTACTAGCCTTCAGCTCTAAGGGAGATCAGGAGTTGGCTGATGGTTCCTCAGGCCTTTGTTTGTTGCTCTTGAGTGGGTGGGACTAGCTCTCCTTATGTATGGCCGCTGGGGAGTGATGTTCCTGAATGACCCAGTACATTAAAACCTGATATTCTCTGGAAACACAGTGTTCCTTGCACTGCTTCTCTGAATTTTCAGGCTTCTGGCAGGGCTGACATCAGGGTTCAGGAGATCTAAGAAACCAAAACTTACTTAACATTTGGAAATCATCTATAGGGCAATACCAATCTTCATTCCTTAATTTTGTTGTTGTTCTTATTGTTGTAGCTATTACTTGCAACAGTGGCTGTTTGCCTTATTCCCTGATACACTCTACCACTCTTGAACACTCACTAAGTGAAATCATGGCTCTGCTGTAGCTGGTGACAGTTACCCTCTCTTTATATTTGATTTTGTGTGGACCTCCAGATAGACTTTGCATATTGGAGTAAGCTTGACTGTAGCAGTCAATTCTGCACTACACTAGCGCATGTTATGCCTCGAGTCCTGTTCCCTGTGCTTGCTCACAGTCAGAGAATGATTAGTAACTTGGTATAGTAGGAACGATGTTTCCATTTCATTGAACATGGTGTAAGAGTTACTCAAAGAAAGTTATTTCAGATTAATTATTCCCTGTGTTTAGGGGAAGGGTTAATTTCCTGTTCATCACTATTGCTCTGGGAAACAATTTTGTGTATTGCATATAACAGGACTTTTCCATTTGTCCCACTTCAGTCGTAGAGGAGTGCACACAGACTCAGGTGGGGCAGTTAAGCTGTTGGGATGGGATTCACCCCAGCTGCCTTTAGCTATCCCCAGGGTCTGTGCACCTTTTGTAGTTGAAGGTAGGAAAGAAAGATAGAAGTGTTCATCCCAGGCTAATGTAGGTGAAGAGGAATTGCCTAATGGAAGTGCCTCTCTGTATTGACCATGCAAGGAACCTGGACAGCTTGTGTGAACTAGGCACTTCTTATACGGAGGGCTAGAGTTGCTGAAACAAATTCATCAAGCCAGCAGCATGTAAGTCTGACAGCTGAAAACATCACGGAACTCTCAGATTGTCTCTGGAATAGTCAAAAAGTATAATGCTGGATGGAGTGAACATTGACAAAACCTCACTACTGCCATAGAATTATAGAATCATTAATGTTGGAAAAGACTTCTTAAGATCAAGTCCAACTGTTAACCCAGCACCATCCTGTTCACCAGTAACCCACGTCCCCAGGTGCCACATGTCTTTGAACACTTCCAGTGAGGTGATTACATCACTTCCTTGGGAAGTCTATTCCAATGTTCAACCACCCTTTCAGTAAAGAAAATTTTCCTAAGATCCAATCCAAACCTCCCCTTGGTGCCATTTCTTCCAGTACCATCACTTGTTACCTGGAAGAGGAGAAATTAAACAACCTCCTACAACCTCCTTTCAGTGGTTGTTTTTGTGTGAAATGTGCTTACATGGATTTCACTTTTAAATATTGTTTTAGCTTGATGGGATTTGTGAAATAAAAATGGCCGACTGCATATATGTTTGGGCTTTTTAAAAGTTTGAGTAGTGCAAAGCAGCACCCAAGCCAGACAAAATAAAGACTAAAACCTCAGTAAATCAGTTCTGATTAAATCTCGTAAGAAAATAAAGTAACTGCCAGGAAGAACTTGTGTTTTCAATAGTTAATTATACTCCACATGGAAAAACTGCAATTTTGTTTCCTCACTGTTGCATAACAGCTGACATGAGTGTGGTAATTGTATCTGTGCAGTGTGTATCTCCAGGGTGTTGTGTGCTCTTGCAGAGAACGGTGTGACGCATTCCCTTAATTTTTACCCCCTCTCTTCCTCCCTCTTGATTTGAGGGTCCTAGGAGTATAGAAATGCCCTTCCTCTTCCAAAAGAAGTGAGAACAAGGCAACAGTAGATAGACATGAAGAAAACAGCACTTTTGCAAAAGTTCTTTTAATAACTCTTGCAGAATATGTCTCAGAAACTGTACAACAGTGAGAGAAATGAAATGGGGAAGGAATTACGTACATACCTACAATTAGAAGTTTTAAGCAGCATGCTGCAGTTTGTAACGCAGCGGGAAAGCATGGCAGGGCCAACATCTTGTTGCTTCAATGAGTAAGAACTCCATGATTGCTGGAGAGGCTTTGTAAAAAGCATTTTATGTTCTTGGAAGAAGCTTCAAGAGTGAGATAGGTGAAAGAGGATGAAAACAAAAGCTTTATTTTTATGATATTGTTTCTCTCTGGGTTATAATTTTTTGTGCTTTTGTGTGCAACACTTACTGACAACATGTAACAAAGAAGGCATCGGGACCTTGCTAAGCAGCTAGCTAGACTAGACCAGGATGCCTTCTGTCTTCAAGCAATGCTACTTATATGTAGCTAGAGACATTGGGGCCAGGTGAGAAAACACAATCCTATGCATTTTCCTGTTGCATGCTGACCTGTATTTCTAGTCTTCACAATGGTATTTTTAGGACCGTTTGCAACAAGAAGTACATAGAACTTGGTGTCTGTTCAAAGCAGAAGCATTCTGGTTGGTACTTGTGGATAGTTGCAAGAAAGTGGAATCTTGTATTTTACAATTATTAACTGACATCTACTGGATAATTGCTGGCTATAGGTGGAGCTGGTAGGGGGAGCAGCAACAGCCCATCAGATATTGAGTAGCCAGGGAATGAGGCAGAAATAATCTAAACCCAAGCAAAACCATTTTAAATTGTATAGCAATAGGAGAGACTTGACTTCAAGGCTGAACTATTTGAATTGCAGCTCCTTTCGAAAAAGAGATGTCCTTATGTGATTCATATTTCATCTCCAAGTCTCTGGTGAGAGGCTCACTTTCTTTGACTTTTTGTGTCTCTTCTCTGTGTTGCCTCTGCAAAGATCAGGCCAGAAAATACAGAACCTTGTTTTTCACCATTTTTTGTCTCATCTGCTCTGTGCCATCAGTGCTGTGGTTCAAATACTGATGTGAAGTAAACAAGTCCTGACTTTTCTTTACGGACGTGATAGAAATGTCCAAGGGAAAGTAGCTTCACACCTAAACTTTAAACAGGTTCTTCTTTCACGTTGCATTTCTTAGCAACTCCATCCTTTGCTTGAAGCGAGAAGGTTGGGTGATGGAGCCCACATACCTGATGGCAGTAACCAAAGCAGTTTCTGTTAGGCGTCAGTGTATGTAAGGGAGGAAATCTTGTGCAATGAGTGGCAATATGACAGTTCCCTAAAGTCCTTTTATAGCAGCTCATCTTCCTGAAATGAGAAGAGGTCATTGGCAAGTGTTATTTGTCAGATTGGAAGAGCTAAAAATGAAGCCTCTGACAACAGTGGTTGTCACCAGCTTCTGTGTAATAAATGAGCTTGTTATACACGCTCCAAACACACATACGCATTTTTACTGAAGCAACAGCTTTTCATAATGTAGGAAAGTAGTCAAGTGCACAGATTACCATGCAAAGCTGTTTATCTCATGAAAACCTTTAACAAGTTTCAAGCACTATTTCTAGCCTTACGGTCTTAAAAAAGGCAAGATGCTAGGAAATCTAAAATGCACTTCAGGCTTTTAACATGGGAGTAATCTTTTACTGAGGATGTTGGTGTTTGGTCATATGACTCTAAAATCCAAAAGACTGCTTTGAGCTAGCCAAATTGACAGTATAAAGCATTCCTTTACAGATTCTTTTCCAAAATACACTGTATAAATAGTACAATACAAAAGACAGTATTTACTGCAAAACTGAGAAGCAATTCTAAATAAATCTGACTTTTTAATTTATTTTTTTTAATTCTAGGTAGCTCAGCTGTCTTGGATTGAAAAGAAAGTAGCTGCTGCTCTCTTTGGGACTCCACCAACTTCAACAGTAGAAGAAGCATTGCAGAATTTCCTTAAGGTAAGTTCTAGCGAAGGGTTTTCCTGTGTTGCTGTCTACCAGCTGTTATATGTGAATATTGTCAAGATGTCTGTTCAATAGACTATGTTCAGTAGCTATAAATTCAGGGCTCTTCTAAACACCACTGAACTTTCTATAATTTTTTATTTGTTTTTTCTTTTCAGTTTTAAAGTTAGTTTGGACATGAGTGGTTAGCACCTTACTTTTCTTTATTTAGTTTCAGGAAATTTTCCAATTAATTTCCATGGTTAATAGTTATTGAATTGAATGTGATATGGATATAGATTAGTTACATATGCTTTTGAAACAAATCATCCATAGTGATAATGATAGTTGCTGATTTTCCTGTTTCTTTCAAGAGGGTTGACACAGGCAAGGAAAACTTTGACATTGTGATGCTTCTCTTTTTTCTGATCTGAAACTTTCTTCCATTGAATTTTGGTAGAAGCCTTTCTTATTTGTGGAGATGAAATGTCTCTTGTAGTGAAGTAGAGAAGGAAACTCTGTCACATAGGTTGCCTCGTATTCCTGGGCTTTCTACTTGAACACAGTTACAAAAAAATACCACATGAATAAAATAAATCTATCTTTTAGCACTTTCCGTATGAATTGTTTCTGCTTCTGGAGCTCAAAAACCTCCAAGTTTTTCACATGACTGGATTCAAAGCATAAACTTCAATCATTACAATTAGTTTCAGAAAGGTTTTCAAAGAAATTGGACAGGCATATTTTCCTCACTATCAAAAATACTTCTTTTCTGTGTTCTTAGTCTATTTAAAGATTGAATTATCTCCTGAATTTTAGACAGTACAATACATTACCATCTTCCCAGTTTAAGAGATTTTATCTTGAAGGTCAAATTCCAAAAGTGGTAGAAATAATTTGAAACATTCGCTTTAGCTTCAGGGCATTTTGTGGTTGGCTGCAGTGTGGCTGTGGTTTTAAGTCATTTTCAGCAACAAAAATCAAATTACTGTCTAAAAGACAACTGTTTGGGTTTCTTTTTCAGTTGTTTGGTTCTACACAATTGTGGTGAAAGCAACATTGTTTTGGTCCAAGGATTACAGCTACTATAAATTTCACTGATGTAATTTTTCTCTCCCAAAAGCTGTTTATTGATTAAAAGATGCTTCTTCATTAGTAAATAATTAGTAAGGGTTTTACTCATCTTGCAAGCTTCTATATCCTTGGTTTGTTTTTTTAAAAAAAGACATTATTGGACTTTTTTAATTACCTGAATTTTTCAGAAGATGAATATTTGAAAAGAAAGGTGAACTGAGAGCCAGACAATAAGAGTCTGTGGAAGAGAAATAATTACAAAATTTAAAACTTTAAATAAGTAAGTTTTAAATTTTAAAATTTACTTATTACACAAAGTGTGAATGGTCAGTTGCGTTCTTATTTCTTTGATGAGGAAATAAATATTAATAATCTAGAGACAGTGGTATCTTTAAACCTACCCTGTGAATGAATCCAATAGATCTTGTACAGAATGACCCTAGTTCTTTACAGAGCACTTAGGGAGAGAGGAGAGCAAGTAGTACAGAACATTTTTATGTGTTCACTATCAGCATCTCATGTGCCTGGTTTAGGGTTTGAGTTTTGTATTTTCTTGTTTTCTTGATTTTTTTTAAGTGCTACTAAACAGATTGCATTACACAGAGTAGGGATGATTCTGTCTGATGTTTGAGGAAATGTAGTGCATTGCTAAAAATGTTATGCAGACCACATAAATCTCATCACACAAGTTTTATGTCTATTTTCTTTCCTGTTTTTTGATTATTTAGGCAGAAGAAATGCATCCAGGATATTCCAAATGCAATTATGTGTATTTGGCAAAGGTAACCAAGTTCTTTTAAAAATAATGATTTGTAGACTCTGGTGTTCTTACAGTGGTCTGATTGGAAACAAAATGTTTTTTCTTTTCAGTGCTATAAAGATCTTGGCCAGAAAAACAATGCACTGAAGTACTGTGATTCTGCACTGTCAATTCTCTCAGTTACTAATGAGGTGGGTATTGAGAGTGATAACTTGTTCCCTTGTGACTGCTCTCTTGTCTTTGGCATCCATTACTGCACTGCCGGTAACAACATAATGTTTCAGTTTTTCCTCCGAACACAGAACATTCCTTTTCCCTTCACTCTAGGCTGGCTCATTACAGTTGTCTGTATCAACAGCTTTAAAAAAAAATCTTTGTTTGGGGAACTGTCATAGACTTGTCTGTATCAGAAATTGAATTGTACTCTTTGTAATTCAACCCACTTCATTAGATCATCTTAAGCATAAGCAGTTGGGTGTGTCACTCTAGCTGTGCTGAAATTTTGCCCCAGACCTATGTCTTTCTCAGTTGAAAGCACTGTGAATTTTTGTCCTAAAATCTCTTTCTCTGCTCCTGAAAGCCTCTGGTTTGTGATTCTTGTCAAGGGCAGTATGCTAACTCCAGCAGAGGCAGACGGGTTATTCAAGACTGGCTTTGTCTTCAACCACAGGGCAGTTAAGGAGGCACAGTTCTTCAAGTCACATCTGTTGGCATATTGTTTGTTCTAAGAGATTATTAGATTCTTCTTGAGGCCCATTAGAGTGTTTTATGCCCATTAAAGTATTTTTGGTATGTGGACACAAAATTTCTACAAATATTTGAGATATTTTAAGTTGTTTAATTTCTCAAATATAAACCATGTCATGGCAAGAAGCTTCACTCTGTCTGATCTCATGTAGAAGCAAGTTCCATGACTGACCTATGACTGGAAACATCTTACCATCCTAGAGCATGACAAGTTCAAACCTGAGCTTTTTCAGCCTAAGGGACCCCCTCTGAGCACAGCAGATGTGGTATGGAGAAAGAGAGGGTGATTCCTGAGAGGAATTGGCCCCATCCCATTTAATTCTTTGAAGTTAAGGGAAAAGACCATTAAATAACTCTGTAACTTGATTGACAATAAATGCTGTGTGTGGAGCACTAACATGTTTATGTCAAGTGTTCCTGCTGGGAAGAAAGACCCCTGCATGCCTCACCAGCCGCTGCTCCTGGGTGGCCTAATTTTTGGCCCCAGTTATAGTATGTACCAGTCATAAATTAAGTAATCATTGCTTAAGTTCAGTGTTTCTTTAAATATGTATTGATACTGATTTGACATTAACAACTATTTCATTCTCCTTACTCTTTGCTTACTGTTAAAATATACCTTCAGCTTGCCTATTACGGAACATAGGAAAGGCTGCTATAAATTATCTGTTTAATATCCTATCACATTCCTGAAGTATCAGCAGACCTGAGAAGGAGAAGTAACCCTGAAGTGAGAGCAAGAATTCAAGAGGAGTTGGAGGGATAGGTGTATGTATTCTGGCAAGCAGGGTGGTGATGAGAATAAAAATTACACTGATTTGTAAACAGAAGAGTGAGCGTCAAATGGGCCCCAAAAATCGTTTGTCCCTCTGAAAAGGACAAGATGATTTAACCTCTCCTGTTTTGACTAATTCTATAAATATCACAGATTTGTCTTCTTTGTCTTGTTTACTTGTGCTGTGTTTTGAGTTAAATTTAGAAAAAAATAGTCCAGAAGAGTATGGCATTAGGGCAGTAGTATGTAATTCAATTAAGAAAAACCAACCAAGCACTCAGTTTCAACACAGGGTAAAAAAACCCTTTCAGTGCATGCTGAAAGAAATTACTGTGAAATGGAGATCTGGAACATGAACTCTGCTATTGCTGACTGTTACCTCAAATCCCATCTGAATTTGAATATTACATGTTGTTTTGGTTATTGTGTTACAGAAAGACTGTTACTGATTTTTGGGAAAACTTGTTGGAAGTGATCTGGTTCAGGGCTTGGAGCTGTATGTAGGAATAACATTTAGTGAGGTTAGTTTAAGAGGGGGAAGAGACTGTAATAAGACTGAAGAGGCATTGGGGAGAGAGTAATAAACAGATGCTAATAAAGTGGCTGAATTGACTGCAGCTCTGTAGAAGATGGGGTTCATGGTCTGAAAATAAAGCACAGGTCAGCAGCAGTCTGAGGATTTGTTTCTGTTTGCCACAGCTCAGGATCTCAAGGTTGTCAGCAGTGTGGTATTTTGTCACAGTCATGTGAAACCCATCATTCCCAAGTGTAGTCATAGTTTCTCATATGAGTTTTCTCTTTCTTGAAGCAGGGGAATTCCTTTATTGTTTTTAAATGTTGGCTTCTACTGAGAAACATGTATTTGTATAAAGGCATCAAATCAGGAGCAGACTGAGAGACAAAGTTGCTGGAAAGGTGCCACATTGAGGAAATGTATAGTATTTCATGATACAAATCATCCCACAGAAAAATAATCATAGACAGTGGTTTACTTTTTATTGCTTCTGAGCATCCACAATTTCCAGTGATTTCTGGGAACCAGAGGTGCTTGGCATCAGTAAAGTGGCCCATAGTTCATTTTAATCCTCAGGTGAAATTCTCAGCTGCTGTAACTCAGGACACTTCTTTGACACTTTTTCTAGGATTCATTTCATGTAACATTTTGAGTTAAGTGATATTATTTTTGTCTTGAATGTTGTGTCACATCCAAATATCCCTTCTGTGCATCTGTTGTGCCATTTACAGAACTTGTTTTAATTCAAGGGGTAAAGGGATTTCCAAACATAGCTAATTCTTGTTAAAGAAAAAAAAAATCAGATGGCCTGTTTCAGACTTATTCTGAATCTTAAAAAAGATACACAGCAATTATAAAAAAAGAAACAAGTTCTGATTAAGTTCATCCTGTAAATTAAGAGTTACAGGAGGATTTTTAAAAATAGGACAGTTTTTAAAAATAGTTTGGCGCATTTTTAACTTATCAGTATATGCATTTTTTTATTTTAAAAGGAAATATATGAGATTTAGTTCAAATTACATCTGGAAAAACAAAGCTGATATTTCAGTGCAACATTAAAGACCTTTCTCTGTCCTCTCTAAACAAAAAGCCTCCAATGAATCATACAATCCTTCCTTGGCCATAAATAATGTAAAGTGGTACTTCACTGCTGGAGGTACATGGGACATTAAATTGTCCAGTTTTTCTCTGGTTGCTACCCAGGTGGATAACCTCAGGGTCCTGGGAAACATTTGCCCCTTCAGTAAAATAGATCCCAATGTTCAGGGCTGCTGTGAGTTATTGTTAAGTGCTTAACAGCTGCTCTGTTCATCGAGTGGATGTTGCATTACCCTTACTGAGACTCATTACTTTGTAGTGTGCTCAAAGCCTTGCTGAGTATGACTATATGAAGGACTGTTAAAACCAGATGTGGTGCACTATTGTGGTGGAACAAAATTACTTTTTTTAATTTGAAGACAAAAATGTAATTTAATTTTGAAATCATGAGTGCCTGTCTTGCATACAGAAAGACATAACAGGTCTGTGTGTGTGTGTGTACGTATGTGTATGGTTAAACACATGGTTCTTTGCTTGTAAGGGAAATAAAGCCCTAATTTCTTGTTTATAATAAAGATGGTTGGAAGTTTTCAAGGCTGGAACTTGTAGAATTTCAAGTCTCAATGTAGGATTATAAAGTATAATAGTCACTGAATTATTTTTTCTTGTGTCTGGAGATGAGCATGAGCATGACAACGAACTCTGTGCTTGTGTTGCACCACAAAGGAGTTAACAGCCTTGCAAAGAAAGAGATTAAAATTCCAAGGTTCTAGTCTCTATTATATTCTCTATTACATTTTAAAAAAGTTAATCTGAAAAGCAGTAGTTGCATTACAAAAAGTGTAGTCTTGGAAGAGATGAAGGCAGGAGAGTAGGAAAAATGCAAAGAAAATCTTTTTGCACTGAGTTGCTGGAAGTCTTATTTAAAATGTAGATAAAAACTTCCCTAAAGGTAAGAAAGTGTTTTACAAAATTATTGGTGATTTTGGGCACTCCATCCTTCCCAGTAATTAGAAATGATGGCAATTCAGAGTTGAAATTAAGAAGTGAGGGAGATTTAGATATTACAGAAATTCATGATTGTGGCGTTCACTTCTTACAGGTGTAGAATGGCAGGAAGCAAACACTTGTTAAAGACTGCCTTCAGCCTCAGTGACATCTGAAACTCATGTGGAGGAGGTGATAAAAGTAATAATAGGCAGCAACAATGGCAGAATGCTTACACAAGAATGCAGCTGTTGAGGAGAAATCATGCTCACAATTTTCCTACACTTTTTTTTACAACACCATAATTGATCTCCTTGGATATTCATTTCATTTTTAATATTGTCTATAAGGAGAAAATTGGGATGGAAGAGAGTTCAGAGTATAAAGTTCAGCATCCATCAGCTGTTCTGTTCCAACAGACCATTTCTGCATTTGAATTTTTCAAGATTTTCTGGGAATTAACCACTCCAGCCACCATGGATTGGTCATATGAGCAGACCTTGTGGTATTTCCAACAGGTCTTATTCGAAGCCACTATTGTAATCTGTCCTTCTAAGTAGGATTTTGGGGAGAAAAAAGTAATTTACACTTGTTTTTATGGTGAAGTTTACAAATTATGACTTGGTTTTGAAAAAAAACTATAAATTGAAACAGGAATTTGGGCTAACCATATAAAAGTGTTCTTGTTTTCTCATCAACCAGAATATTTTCTTTTCACATCTTCAGCTCAAATATGTCAATCTTTTCAGAGAATATTTGTTGCTTTAGATTTTTTGCACATTTGTCCTCCAAATGGCCAGCAAAAGTAAATGGTGTTTCAATTGAAAAATAATGTAAGTGTTCAGATTTGTGTTAATTTTGAATTCTGGGCTATTGTTTTCCTGCTAGTGGAGTTGAACAAGAATTTCCTAATAGCTACCACCAACTCATAGCTTAAAAAATCTATTGCTTATTTAGTGGTTTTGTATACAATGAATGTGACTGCTTCAAGCTCAGGGAATGCACTTTTTAAAAACTAATTATAAAGAGATCAAATTTTAAACTAAAATTCAAGGGGGAAATGAGACATTTGTTAAAGAGTTGATAAAATAATTTGAGACTGTCCATATTTTACATTATTTTGCACTTCAAAGAATAGTCTATTTTTCTTTATCTTAGTGATCAGATCAATTTTCTATCTGCATGTTTTTGAAGTTCTTGAAAAAAGGTTTGTTTGCATTGTGTACTTATTTCTTCTCTCCCTCTGAAAATGATTCTGAAAAGTGATGAAGGTATTTTTTTGTGATGTCACAGTTTCATAAGGATGAAGTTTACCCTGAGAAATGCCAAGCTTATTATATTTAGTATTAAACTGACTATCACACAGTATTTGTTTCAACATCCTATCGAAGCTAACACGGTTTTAGCGTAGTTCTTAGTCCAGCAAGACTGGTCAGCAGCCAGTTCCCCAAAGTATTGAGTGTGTCTCCTCCACTGGCATTCTGATGATGCAGGGGCAGAGTGGAAGAAGTATTCACAGAGGTGGTGGTACACTCCAGGATTACAAAATAGATTGGCAAAATCCCATTTTAAATTTTTGTAGCGTAGCTGGACCAAGTCAAACTCCTGGGATTTTAAATATGTTGTCTTGGAGGCAATATACAGGGTGAAGGAAAGCCTTGACAGGCACCTTTCTGAGGGGGCTGTAACGGTGTGATTGTGTTCAGGCTCTTTCAGCAGAAAGAAAAGCTGTAGGTCCCATCATGGGAGAGGCAGCAGCCAAACAGAAAGAGGAGAATAGAATGTCTTCAACACCAAAAGCTCCACATTGTATACAATAGTAAAAGAAAACCAGATCATAGGGGAAGTTTAGTCTTTCAAGTCAGAAAAGAGCTAGCTGATTAAAATTTTACATGACTACTATACTGAATTGTATTCTGATGTTTTGTAATTTTTCAACAGTAGTCCTTGAATGAGCTGAACTCTTTATGGGTGCAAAAGGGTATTTTCCCCTCCACTTGAAGTAATATCCAAAAATCTGTATTTATTGGCAGCTGCATATTTTAAAGCTGTGCTTGTCTTGATCCTAAAAGCCTTGAGAAGTTATGGTTAGTCCCCAGAGAAGATAGTGATAAAATGAAAGAACACAGAATGCCCCAGCTTGTGACACACATCAGTCACATAGAAGGTGGCACATGGATGATTGCATTGGTGTATTGCAATATCGAAGGAGAAAACGAATGGTATTATACAATCCTTAGTGCATACTACAGTCACACCATCTGTGAGAATCTGTCAGGAAACTGAGAAGGGATAGGATAGCATTTATCTTCGTATGATTTATACTGTCCACAAGAGCTATTGCTCTCTAACAACCCTTGTGCATGTTTGGGAGTCTCTTCTGCTACAGTCCAGGATTTCTCCTGGAGCTGTGAGGGAATGATACAGCTGTACCCAAAAGCAGGAGTGTCTCTCAGCACCTCATTGCTGTTACTGCATATCAGAGTACAGCTTTGGACCACCCTTGCAGCCCAGCTCATTTAATATACCATACTGCCCTGCTGACTTCAGTGAAACCCTACAGGATGCATGTCAGCTTGAGATTTGGCAGTGGTTGCACACAATTATGTTTTCGTTGGCTGGTGTAACCATTTTGGTTGTGGTCATGGGGGTGTATCATTCTCTGTTGACAGTTGGGACTTTGTCAACAAGTGCACACATGTGCAGGGCCTGGGTTGAGTGTGTTAGCACATAAGGAAATAATTAGCAGAGATGGAAGGTAAAATCATTATCTTTCTGTCTTGGCTTTAATTACCGTTTAATTTTTATGTGCACATTTATATGTGTAACTCTCCACGTATATGTATCAGTAAATTCTTTTCAGCAAAAATGAACTGTCAAAATGTGGACTACTTCCAGTTAAGCCAACATTCCCTTTTTCCCACCAGCTCTCTCTTCCTTCTTGCTCTTGTTTTCAACTCCCTCTCTCCCCTTGTTCAGTCCCTGGCCTCCCAGGTCTTTTTTTCCTGTGCATATCCCCTGTGAATGTTGAAATATAAAAGTAAAGCAACAAAATAGGAATAAGGCGAAATATAGTCCCTGACCCTGTAATCTGAATACCTTTTGTGTAGCAGTTTGCAGAACATTTTGAACTCATATTCAACTCTGAAAATTATATAAGGGGTGTTTAATAAATGTAAGCCTTGACAGTAGAAAGACAAGGTTGAAAATGGCTCAGTCAGTGCTGAACTAAGCCTCAGGGTGAACAAATGGGACTGACGCAAGTATATTGCATTCCTCCTACAGCTTGCACCTCTTCTTCTGCTTGCTGCACTTTAAAGAGAGAGTCTGCTCTCTGGAGAAAAAAAAATAAAATATAAAATAAAAAAAAACCAAACAAACAAACAAACAAACAAACAACCCCCCCCAAACAAAAACAACAAAAAAACCCCAAACCTGACCTTATTGTTCATTTTCAGAAAGCCACAGGCCCAGAAATCAACAAGGAAGAGAGCTGGCCCATGATAGGATTTATGGCTTTTTCTTTCCATTAGCAGACAAGCTTTGGGCAATAATGAAGTTTTCACATTTCGAACCAGAAACTAGTACACTGAACAGAGTTGTGGCTTCTCTCTCCTTTTAGCATGACACACCTCTTGGTCTGGAAGGACTCTCTCCAAAGGTGACATAATAGTTCCCTTCACTGACCATACTCAGCTTTGTTTTTAATGCCATTACTGATATTTTTCAATGTTTTTGCCATACAAGTTCTTATGGACTGGTAGCTGCTGACTTAATTAATACAACCCATTAAGTGGTTTGCAGCAATAACTCCTGCTTTAACTGATGTAGTCTTGTTTAGAACTGGCAAACCAGAGGAAGAATACTTTGCACGTTTGCAGTTTCTTCTCCAGACAGCTCTTACAACAATCATGGGTTTGTTCCGTTCTTTTTCCTATGCCCAGAGGAAGATTCAGGGAAGATTGCCCAATGTTTCTGGACCTTTGCAACTTGTAAAGCTCATTGCCCAATATAATCCTTTACTTCTGAAGACAGAGACAATTATCCAAAGTTTTTGGAGATAAATTTTTAAAATGCTGTATCCTGCAAAATGAGTAGAGTATCCCATCAACTCATGAAATGCTGAACACTATTCAGATATGAGAAAACTTGCACCTTTATAATTTTCAGTTTAGAAAACTGTCATAAGAGTACAACCAGATACAATGAAACTTTTCCATTTCTTATTAGCATGGGACAATATCTGTCTTTTTACTTATTTTATTCAATGGAGTCTAGAATCATTTTCATAAATTGACCAGTGTCAGTACAGAAAAGAGTGTATTTTCCCTGAATTAAGGGAAAACTTAGAATTTTTCAGTTTTTGTTGAAAGCAGTGATGTGGTGCTCCAGACAGCCTGTAGTGACGTGGAATTTAAGGGGTGCTCAAGGCCATATGACATTTCCTTCTGTTAGAGTATTTTGGCAAGATCTTACTGGCTTTGCAGTGTGTGCCTTTTAAGGCCTCTGATAAATGATTAGGCAGATAGTTTAGCCTATTGTTGCCAGTAGGAGTAAGGCAGTAACTCCAAGAGAAGCGTCCAGCTAATGTATTAATGCCTTAATCCAGACCAATAATATGATGTAGTTTGACATGTCTGGCATATGGTTTCTATCATCTCAATATTCTTCTCTGTTCCTCCATGACATTATAGACAACTAACCAAAATAAAGAGAAGCAGGAATTTCTTCACCCATAAAATATATTCTAAAATGTTCTGGTTTTTGTTCCAGCTCTTTGGTTGATTGGGTGATCCTGAAGTTTAGTGATTACTTTACTGACTGTCTAAAGTATTTTCTTTCAGAATATCCTGTGGCATTACCATTACTGGTCCCTGTCATTAGCAATACTTACACAAAATCTGTGCTGTGCAGGCACTTTTCACTTGCACTGTTAAATATGAATGGGTGCATGTGTTGGGTGTTTGGACTCTTGTGAGCCTGCAGGCATGAAGTGCTGACATGTTAGAAATGTAGTTTTAAGCTAAGATGCATTTTGCAAGCTAGAAGTTTTGCAGCAGCAGCTAAAGGAAGCAGATTATATACAGGGGACATTTAAAAATAAGTAGAATAATGGAGTTTTTGTACCGTGGTTATGTGCTTATATGTATATGCCCTTTTCCAAGCAGATTATACATGGAATAGCCAAAATATGTATCACTGACTACCTGTGAGACAGTCTCAGGCCTGGCTTAGGTTTAAAGCCCCGTGCAAACTGTGCACTTAAAACATTGGCCTAAAAAGAGCCTTTTCCTGCTGTCCTAGGAGTACAAAGTAGTGGTGGCTCTGAGCACAGCAGGTCACTTGCCTCTTGCTCCCACATTGGCCCCACTCTGCTGTAAGCCCAGTAGCACAGGCTGAGCTCCATCTGGAAGATAATGAGGGTGCAGTCAGCCCATGGTGGTTATTCTAGGTAAGTATGGCTGTATGCACTGAAACCACAATCTAACCCATGTCATTAATTACATTTCCCAATGCCTTCTTCTTAGTTGCATAATAAATCATTAGCAAACATTATAGAACATCCTTAGAGAAACTGCATGTGGTCAGGATGCAGGATTATGGCAGGTATAAGGCAAGGCACTACATTATGCAAAGTATACCAATAAAAGGTGTATCCCCAGCTGAAGGGCTTACCGGTCTGCTGAAAAGGCTATTTGTGGGCTAACATTTTAAGTGCTTTAACAGAGCTGTAAAGGGAGGGCTGCCATCTGGCTCTTGTTTTCACTTCAAACTTTATTTTTGTATTCACTGATAAATTAACTTACTACGCAGTCTTTACATTTTGTGACTGTTGCTGTTGTATGTTATGTCTGTTGTTAGTAAAGAAATGTGGATAGGCACGTATTAGGCAAATGAAGGGATTTATCTTCTCTCAGTTGATGCATGGTTGTCTGTTTCTTTCAGGATAAAGAGGCCCAGAAAGACTTAGAGGCTTTACTTCTTACACTGAAGCTCTGATACTACGTACTTTTAACTCTTCATGCTGTAATAAAATTGCAAAACTAAAATGAGAATCTACAGTGACTGGAAACTGCGGGTGAATTTCAGCTAAATCAGTGGAAAAACAGTCATTGATTTTGGTTGGATTGGATCATGGCCTTTAAGTGTATGGTGATTATGATATTAAAATAATACATTCGTTTTTGATTATTTACAATCTTGTACTGAAGTTTAATTTTAGATTTCTGACACTGTGAGTCTGATTCTCATGAACATGAAGTCCATTGCTGGCAATGGACCTACTGGGGGTTAGAATGCAAAAGGAATAAATCTCACTCTTCAAAAGATTATTCAACTAGTACATGATGCCAGCATAGAACTGTGTGTAGCATAAACAAACAAAAAATGTTTCTATAGTAAATTATATTTATATCAACTAATTTACACAGATGTGTACAGAAGAAAATCATGAATATTTATGTTTACACATTTCTCTACTTTTAAAAAAGTTACAGTCTTGTTGAAGTTAAACAAAGCTGTTGCCACAACAAAGCTCTTTTTACTTAAAACATATTGTTGGTTTTACAAAGAAATGTGAAAATTTTATAAATTAAATATTATAATTTATTTGTAGTATCAAGTACAATATTAAAGATCAGACCAATTAAATGAAGTGGTTAGATTAATATGTTGCAGATGTGATGTTTAATGGATTTGTATCAGGACCTCCATCAAGTTTGTGAAGTCTGACTATCTTTGAAGAGTTGCCTAATGTGGTTTCATCAGAGTGTCTCTGGAGAACCTTCTCCAGCATGTGTCCATCACTAACCTTTTATATCATCTGTGTAACATAACCTGTACATAAAAATAGACTACCAAAGACCTACTACTTCTGTCTGTTTTGGACAGCAGTGTCCAAATATTTTCAATAAAATGTAGCAGATAGGGAAAGAATTTCCATTCACCACTGGAGTGATCCAGAATATACCAGTCTGTAGAAGAATAGAGGCCAGTTGTGATTGGCTTTTAATTCAGGATCTTAATCTAGATGCAGGGAGTGTACCTGGAAGAAGTAAGCATTTCTGTTAAAGAACATAGAATTGAGTAAAGACAACTAAATGATCCCTTGATCTATTTGATGTGTAAAATAATGTGGACCACTTTATGGTAAAGACAGGGAGATCCTCACAAATTGAAGTATGCATAATGCTCATCCTGTGGAAGAACAGTTTCTATATGTCTCAATTCAAGAGTTCTTTTTTTTTCTTAATACATAATTTCAGAGAAAAGGGAAAATACTGTGAAAGATTAGTCCTAACCATTTGTTCTGTGGCAGAGTGTTGTGATTCACACAGAGTAACTGACTTGTTGTGAATGGGGAAGTGGGAAAGGTGACACATTGTGATTTTGGTAAGGGGCTGTTGGTAAAGTCTGGTTTTGATCTTTTCATAGCCAATGCAGGAAGCATTGTTTAAAAGTATATGAGATTTGCACTTAGATTAGATTTGCACTTAGGGTTGTTGTTAACAAATCACTGTCACCTAGGAAGATGTAGTAAGGAGGCCTTTAATGAAATCAATTTTATGCTAATTTATATAATTTATAAAATAAATTGGATTATGCAATAGATACTTCATTTACAAGTAATTATTCATGATAAAAGCTGAAAATGTATTGGAGGAACAGATTAGAACAAGAAGTTACTTATATTAATTACTGAAATTACATTATGTAAGTAGGATTTACTTCATTAAGGGCAAATATAAAGTCTTGAATTGAAGTAATTAGCAGAAAGAGACTGGAGACCAGGCTAGTTGTAATTCTATGGAAAAGGACTTGGAAAATGCAGATTCCAGTGAGTGGCAAGTTAATCATGGGTCAATAATGTTATGTTTTTGTGAAAAAGCAAATTTCATACTAGACTGAATAAATAAACATTCCCCATTAAATTCACATGAAATAACCTTTTATCTAATTAGGCCTAATATGTTCTAATGAGGCCTGAGCTAGTATAGTGTATCTGGTTTCAGGCACCCACTTGAGGGAGGTTGGGACTAACTGGAAGGAGTCCAGTGGAGAGAAAGACAAGAAAGATGACAGTGCTAGACAACATTATTTTGCTTGTAGAACATGAAAGAATTTGGTGTGTTTAGTCTGCAGGAGCAAGGACTAAAGGAGTATTCACATTTGTAAAATGTTTTTGCCGAGAAGACAGTGAAAAAGAACCCCAAAGCTTGTTCTCCAAATTCCCTATTCATAGGATGAGAGGTAATAGCCTACCTTCAGATTAGGCACTGGGAGAAAATAATCTTGATGGTAACTTTACAAAGCCCTGCAATATATTCCCTGAGAACATTATAAAATCATTTATTAAGTTTTAGTATAAAAGTTCAATCAGATTTCATACATTGGCAGTGTTTAAGGCACAGTTCATCCTCTGGCAGAGGTTGGACTAGATGACTTTGTAAGATCCCTCCTGGCCTTGCTGACTCTGGGGAGCGCACAACTCCAGCTCCCTACGAGCCATAGGCACTCCTGCAGGGGTTCAGGAGTCTGTGTCTGCACACACTGGCTCAGCATTTGGGCCCAGACTACCAAATGAGTTTGTACTCTGAAGTATTTATCAGCAGGTTTCAAGACTTGAATTTAAAGATAAGCATCATGACTGCCATTGACCATTTATTTAATTGTGGTTTTAATCCACATGGTTACATTGATAAATAAATTTATTATTTTATAAATGAAATTACTGATTTTTCTTTTCAGCCTTCTGAATTAAGCCCATTGTTCTGTTTTAATTTTTACTCATTACTAGTGTATGTGTGGGATTACAAATTAACATCTGTGAGACAAAAGGCTGGGCCTTTATTTCATTCTAAATTGTGTCTAGCAGTTTGCAGAAATATTAATCACACAGGTAAGAAACGGCTAAGATATTTTGTACTTTTAAAAGTTTTTACTAATTAATATGCATGAGCATTCTCAAATTTTTTGTTTCTGATTTGCTAATCTGAGAACTTTTTAAATTGAAGGACATTCCCTAGATTGTTCCCTAATTGCTCTTTGGAATAAAGCTTTTGCGTTTAGTTGTAGGCTCAAGCTATCTGTTCTCTGTGTCATACCAGCTGGAGAAAAAGCAAGCATAGCTCCAGAGGGCCATATGTTTTCTTTTTTGTTTAAAATATCCACAAGCAGACAGTCACTTCCGTAGTTTTGTCTCTGTGGAGGAGCTAGGTTCTGTGATTCTGTATTAACCCCCTGCGGGTTTGAAGCCGTATGGCGCAGATGGAGCTGCAGGCTTCCTGAAGCCACAGGACCTCCTTCAGTTCTTCTACTGTGGCATCTCTCGTTTGGTCTCTGCTCCAGTACATACACTGCAAATCCTCTGTGGTAATTTGTCTCTTTACATACATGATAAAAAGTGAGCTCAGGGGCCTGGTACCAGGATTTATGTGCTTCATTACAGTTAAAACAGCTAGTTCTGCAGTCCGTGATATGGAGGTAAGTTTTATTCCTTGTGGTGAAGCTCAGGCTTCTGTCACTGATCCTAATCCCTTTGCAGTTGTCCCTCTGCAGCCCACAAAGCATGGGATACATTTTTTGGTAGCAACGGCACAGACACATTGTGGAAATGGTAACAGAGATAACCCTGTCATACTGCTTTGTTTAGAGCACTCTTTTCTTCTGCAGAGTCAGGGTGAGATACGCATTTCTGTGTAGTAATATCAGTACACTGACTTATGTCCAGTTCCATTTAAAAAAAAACAAACTTCACCTAATTCCATGTCTACAACTCTGTTTTTATAGTAGTAAAAGCCTGAACTAAAAAATAAACAAAAAAAGACCTCCCCAAACCAAAAAAACAGCACTGAAACCAAAGCAACAACAAAAGAAATGCAATGAAGAAATGGGTACCAGAGATCCAGCCATGTTGAATGCAAACATAGCAGCTTATTTGGATCTACTTATCTTCAGCCATTACTACCGTACCACATTCTTTTTGAAGTACCTAGAACTGTAGGGAGGTATTATGAATTCCAGCAAGCTTGGTGGGCTTTCTGGAATTTTCCTGGACATTCTGGAGGTTAGTTTTGTGGTGTTTTTTCAGTGGGCATAGTAGTGTGTTACATATACTCCAAATCAGAAAGTCTTGTGGTAATGTGACAAAATTGTATTGCTGCATTCATCCAGTGCAGACTCAAGAAAGAATAGCTCTGGAGGGCCAACACTATTATTTGCTCTTTTTTTCTTCTGCACATAAGGTTATATTCTTATTTTCCGGCACTTCTCCTTCTTACAGGCTTCCAAGTTCCTTGGAGAAGAAACAAATCAAACTTGTCTTGACAATACAAAAAGAAGTAAGCTTTTCTGGCCCTGTCTATGTTTGTGTAACCCATGCATGTGTGATGCTGGGAAATGAAGCACTGGAACTAAGAATGTGAAACATTAATAATTTTTTTTTTTTTTTTTTAGGAAATATTTTACTCATTTAAATAAACAACCAGTTACTGTAGAAGTATCTGTGGGATCCAGTGCAAACTTGAATATGAATAATCTGAGCTCTGTGCATGGCAGTGCTGCTGACCCATGATGTGACTGTGGGGTTAAGCTACTTAGCTACATACCCAAGTTACACACACGCAAACACCCTCTGTCCACTCTTCATATGTTTTGTTTATTAAGATTAGCTGGGAGCTGGTTTGAATTGCCTACGTTTATAAGCTAAAAATAGAGCCACACAATATTTACAGGGAATATTGTAACCTAAACATGTGTCAAGGATGTGGGCATGAATATGGATGGGCTTTTTCCAAACCAGGTCCAGGTTTCTGATTCATGGTAAAGGTAACCAACATGGCTGTTGAAATTTCAGTCTCCAGCGAGAAATGTTCTTGTTCGTTCTTCAGAAAAATGTGGCAAATCAGCAAAGTGGATTCAGCGATTTACTTCTGTATTCCTAATCTTGGAAGAGAATAATTTATGAAGAAATGAAAATTCATTTGTAAAGCTGACTGTGGCTCTGGGCTAAGGATTACTGCTTTGCAGAATGTTAGGCCAGCTTACATAGTGACATAAAATCATTACATAAAATCATATGTGAAGTCTTAAAATGGTAATAAAATACACGTTTTTCAAATTAGAACAGCAGAATACATCTAATGCAACAATTCTAAGTGCAACGAGGGGTTCATACAAAAGCACTGCTAGAATATGTGTGTTGATTTTAAAGCCACCAGTGTATGAGTATTGGCAGTTTCAAGCACAAGCGTTCCTGGTGCCTTCACCATGGATCCTAGAGCAAGAATTACCAGTGCACACTCTCACAAAGGACTGTAATTGAGTGTGTGATCCCACAGTCATTTGACATCTTCTTTGTTTTAGAAGTGTTTTTCTTACTGAAGAGTAGATTCGTGTGATTTGTCCTGTGACATTTTGGTGCCATTAAGAGCATGGCAACACAGCCTCTGGACATCAGTGAGTCCCAGGCTTTGTGCCAGGATGAGATTTTTAAAAGTACCTGCATTACCTTGTGTGACGTTTGCTTCTGCACATCCTTAGCACTCGATCCAGCTTGTTCCAGCGGTGCAGTGCTTTCATCCCCCTTTACAGCCAGTCCTACATGTCTGAACAGGTTGATTCAGGAAATGAGAAAGCAGGTATTTTCAGATGTCATGGGGGAAATTCAGAGCAATAGATCAAGAGCGAAAAAAACCCCAAACTCCTTGACCTGGACCTGTATGGTCGTTTGAGCAAAACTTTTAATTAGTTGTCCGCCATACATGATTTGTCTAAAGGTCATTAGTTTATTTTCTCCAGAGGGGGAATTTTGTGATTACTCTAGCCTATCGCATACCACAGAATTTTTCCTCCCTCCCACAACTTATTTCCCAATCTGAAAAAAATGGGGCTGACAAGGCTTCTTTCACCATGAGGGTGGTTTGAAATAAAACATAAAAGAAAAACACATGGGAAACACACAGAGCAATAAGTGGTAAAATAGCCTTCACTTTTTAGGCATCTTTTACTCTTCCAATCAGCTGTCAAAATGCTGTCAGGTAAGACGAAGCCTTGGGAAGCATTTATGCCGGTCCCAGGCTGGTTTGGAGCATGTGGAAAGCCCACACGGTTGTGTCTGCGGGCACACAGCTGTACCTCTGGCACTGAAGTGTGTGAGCAAGTGCCCCAGCTGGTGAGCAGCAGCCAGGCAGGCAGGAGAGGCAACACACCTGGCTGAGCAACGAGGGCAGCGACCCCTGATGAGGTTCAGGAGGGCCCTGGCAGTGGGGAATGGGCACATTCGGTGTGTGAGCAGTGCCTAAGCATCCTTTGGGGAGGTGTGCTGGTGGCTCAGGAGCGGTGTTGCTGCAGGAGGCTGGCTGGGCCTGTGGGCGCTGCTGGCCTGGAGGTGGAGGAGGGGTGGGTATGTGCTCCGTGGGGTATCCAGCTTCACCCTGCTGTGTCAGGAGCAGTGTGTGTGGGATACGTGTGGTGGGTACTGTAATGGTGGGTGTTTCACAAGCCTGCCTGTCTGCTTGTGGCACAGGGCGGCGTTAAGTTAAAAGAAAAAATCTGGAAGCTGTCCCTTCGGTAACCGAAGGTCGGCAGGATTTGGTAACTCCTGTGGGAAGGCATGTTAAGTCTTGGGCCTGTAACTACAGGTCTTGTACTACGTGCAAGACTTTCTTCTGTTCGGGGCTTTGACTGCCCTCAGGCTGCTGTGGGACCTGAGGGGATGCTCCAGGGCTCTGCCACTACCTCGTGCTGTGGGGCACTACTGCAGTGGCAAGTGACAGTGAAGCAAAAATGGTCATTTTCTATTTTCCTCACTTCAAAAGATGTGTTTGTTCGTGTTCACCAGCTTTAATTTATATGGAAAAATACAAGGCAGAAAAGGCAGTTCAAATGCATTGCCTGTGAGCTGTCGTTTTCCTGTGGTAAGAGCTTGTCA